TTCTGCATGGAGCACTGGGTGTTATGCACAAACAATGAATCATGGAACACCACATCTAAAACTAATGATGTAATGTATGGGGATAATAAAAGAATTAAAAAATTTAAAAAAAAACTTTAAAAGCCTTTATTTAAATAAAACTATTATGAATAGAAAAAAAAAAAGAGGTCATAGTAGATTTCCACCTCTAATGGCAGAGGTCCTTATAAAGAGGGGACGTTTGGACACAGATGCAGGGGGATAAGACCATGTGACCACAGAGGCAGAGATAGGGTGACGTGGCCCAAGGATGGCCAGCGACTCCCAGAAGCAGGGAGAGCTAGGGACAGAGTCTCCCTCACAGGCTCAGGAGGAACGAGCCTGGCCGACATGCTGATCCGGGGTGTGCGGCCTCCAGCACTGGGAGAGGAGATGTCTGCGTATCTCTAGCTCCCAGAACTTCACACTTTATTATGGCAGCCCCAGCAAACTAGGACATGGCGGGTGGCTGCATTCGAGCAAGATCTGTGGCAGAATGACCTCAAATTCAATCTGTTTCATTTGGCCAGAGAGTCAAAATTTTAGCATCTGACCCTTGGGTCTCCAGACTATGTGTGTGAAACTTTAACCCCTAAAAGCACAAACGTCTGAAACAAGCCAGGTCCTAATTAGGAGAAGAGTTCAAAAAAGAGCGATGCCCAGCCTTTCTGAATAAAAGCAGGACACCGACCCTGGGGCATGCCCTGTTTTCCCAGGCCAGCTGCATTGTGCTTCCTGGGGGCCACATCTTGGGGCTCGAGCATCCCTTTGAGAGAGAGAAAGTCCGGGGTGCTTGTGGATCTGTGTCTTGGACTCAATGCTCTGACCACGGAAGAGTGGAGGGTGGAGCTCAGAGCCACGCCAGATGCACACAGACCCACTCAAGAGTGGCAGGGGCGTTTTCTGCTCAGCTGTGCATCCTGGGGCCAGCAGGAGGCGGCACCTGAGGTGGCCCTCACCTCCTGGTTGTTCTCCTCCAGACACTGGTCGTATTCGCTCAGCGAAGCTAGGTAGATGAGGGCAATCACGTTCTCGAAGCAGTGGATCCACTTCTTGCGTTCTGACTTCTGGCCCCCGACATCCACGATCCTGCCGGGAATCACCCCCTGTCAGGCCTGATCAGAAACCCCTGCCATGGCACCCCAGACCCCAGGCACGTCCAAGGCATGTCCAGATCAATATTTAATAGCAGCAGGAATTGGTGGCAGCCTCTGGCCTCTGCTGTGTTACTGCATTTCAGCCCCGTGAAGCAGGTGTTACTGTTAACTTATTTACACATGGAGAAACTGAGGCACAGGAGGGGAGACTTTGCTGAGCTTCTGCATCGGGCTGCCTGATTTCCACCCCAGGGGAGAGGACAGCAGGTCAGACACATCTGGGGTCTGCTCTGGTTCTGGCGGGTGACCTGGGGCAAACTGCCGAACATGTCCAGAACTCAGTTTCCCCAACCGTGACGTGCGCATTGTTCTGACGGGCCAACACCATCCTCTCTGTGTGTGGCCCAGGGTGAGGGCCCAGCCTCCACCTCCACACACGGCAACAAAAGCCTGAGCCTTCCTCTTCTCTCCTCTAAGAAATGTGGGTCACTGATAACAAGGCTTGCGTCATTTCCCCAGTGATGGGACTGTTACCCAGGCGGCCAACAGGAAATGCCAGAAGCCCCAGAGCAAGAAGGGACTTGCCCCTTTGTATGGTCTGGCAACTAAGGCTGGTGCCTGTGGCTCCCGATCCCTGAGACCAACCCCTCTTGTGCCTCTTCAGATTCCCTGAAACCCCAGAGCAGAACGGGAGGTGCAGGGGTTGAGAGCGGGGCTCTGGAGACTAGACAGATGTGGGGGATGCTACTTGCCAGCCTCCAGTCTCATAGTCTCAGCTTCCTCTGAGCCCTCACTCCATGGATTAGCTCTGTCCCTGGCCTAAGAACACACTCAAGGCTTCCCACCTGAAAATCAGCACCTCAGTCCAGCCTCACCTGTGAGCTTCCCCAACCTCTATCTTCATTCCTAAACTTTGACCAATTCATCCACCCACATACTCACCCATCCATCCACCCATTTATCCATCTATCTGCCCATCCGTCCATCCACCCATCCACCCACCCACTTACAATCCACCCATCCACCCATCCACCCATCCACCCATCCATCCACCCACCCATGTATCCATCCATCACCCACATATCCATCCATCTGTCCTGTTCGTCCATCCACCCGCCTATCCATCCATCTCTACCCACATACTCATCCATCCATCCACCCGTCTATCCATCTATCTACCCACCCACCTACCCATGCATGCATCCATTATCCATCCATTCACCTGCCCATCCACCCACCCTCCACACATCTACACCTACATACACTCACCCATCCATCCACTCGTCCATCCTTCCATCTTTCCAATCATCCTCCCACATTCACCAACTTCTACTCTGATCTTGAGCTGATCATCACGAGCAAAGCAGGAGAATCAAACTCATTCCCTGGTCTTGTGGGGCTCTCCATTAGGGGAGGAGACCGATGGCAAACAGAAAGTTATGAACCATCCTCGTAAGGACTATGAAAAGGCCAGAAGGGCATGTTCAGGGGGTCAATCTAGGGAAGCATGGGACTCAATATGGGTGAAGTGAACACAACCCCTGTGTCCAGTCCTCACCCTGCACCCTCCAGAGTTCCCTGCCATGAACCTACAGACAGGGAGCTTGCTGAGGTCACAGATAACCCTCTCACCACAATCCCAGAAATCACTGCTCTCAGTGTACTCTTCCTGATCTCGCCTTAGTCTTTGACACTGGTCATCATTCTGCCTGGATGGCCCCATGCTGCGCTGGCCACTCCCACCTGTGCCTTGCAGCTCAGGCCTGTGTACGTCCAGCCACCTCCCAGATGCCCCAGATCCCTCAGACTCTAGTGCCCTGAACGACTTCGTTGTCTAATTGAATACCCCATGCTGCTGCCACCACATATTGACCCCATCACCTTGATTCTCGGATTTTTACACTCATCTAGTCCTGCCCATTTTACATCCGAAACGATTTTTGCACCATCCCTTCATTTCCATCCCCATGACCACTGCCCTGGCCCTTACCAACCCTTCCTGCCTGGATCATGGCTCCTGCCTCCTCCTGAGTCTCCTAACCTCCAGCCTCAGCCCCTCAAGGGGATCACCTCTGAGTTTCCCCAGCCCTGAATCAATCCCTCTGGAATATCACTGACCACACAGTCTCTGTCTCCTCCTACCTAGCAGCCCTTCAAGACTTATCCCAGTGAACTCCTACTCATCCTTCAATGTCCTAATACCAATGTCCTCTCCTTAGGAAGACCTGCCCTCCTAGAGCTCTGGTCGCCCCACTCTGGGCTCTTCCAGGTCTCAGACCTGACTGCAAGGGGGCTGAAGGTGTCTAGATCCAGCTCTGCCCCCTTCAGCCTGGAAGCCCCTTGAGGACTGGGACTGGGAAACTCCTACTCATCCTTCAGGGCCCCAGTTCCTTTGCCTGCCTATAGGAAGCTTCCCCCGACTCTGGGCTGTGAGCTCACCGCAGGTTGGTCTTCTGCACGGAGAAGCAGTACTCATTGATGCCGGTGGTAGGCATGCGGCTTCGGAGCACATCCTGTGCTGTGGGGATGTAGCCCTCCTCGGTGATGCGCTCCAGGTGGGACAGGTAGCTGTGGAGTGAGGAGCCCTGAGGCCCAGTCTTGCAGACTTAGTTTGTTTCTCAGACCCCCCACCCAAAGCCCAGTGAGGCCCCTGCTCGGGGAGGGGCCAGGATCTCTGGGTCTGCAGGTAGCCCAGAAGCATCACCCTGACGCTGTGGGAACATTGGGAAGAAGCCGTCTCACCCTCAGAGCAGCAGGACCTCAAGGACAGTGTGAACTCAAGAACAGTCTCACTGTGTGGGGGGGTCACCTTCGGGGAGCTGTCACCCAGTGGCACTGTCCCAAGAAAAGCCCCAGCTGTCACATCACCCTAGATGCCCAGCATGGTACTCAGGACAGTGTCACTGTGTGATGATGAGCAGCGTCACCCCAGGAATGATGTCACTGCAGATCAGTGCCCCCCCCAGGAATGACATCACTTTGGAGCAAGACCATCCATAGCCAGCCCACCCCACCGCATGTCCCACATCAGGAGCCCACCAGCCTGGGCCCTGTCTGTCCAAGAGCAATCCCTAGGAGGAGTTCATCAGTGGCTGCCTCTCAGCTGTGCCCTGCACCCCACACCTGCCGCCTGTGGGCCCCCGACTCACTACACGGCCGAGTCGAGCAGGTGGAACTCTCGGCGGCGCTCATAGCAGGCCCGGATGCCGGCGTCCCTCCACAGCCACTGCATGGCCACGGCGTAGCGCTTCTCGAAAGTGGTCACTTTGTATGGGTCCTGGCTCATGACCAGACTGGCATAGTGCTGGGGAGGGATGCACGGGGCACGTCAGGGGTGGCACCACCCTACACACATGCCTGCAAGCCACCTCCTCTCTCTGCTACAGAGCCCCCTGCACACTGCTGTCCCGCTCCACCCCTCTGCTCTGCTCCTTCCTTCCCACACGAGTTTGTCCCCAGATGGAGGGCAGAGGGGCCGCAGAGAACACAGGTGGACGTCAGTTCTGGTTCCTGGACACCTATGAGTCAAGTCTCTACAGGTGCCCCCACCACAGACTAGATAACGCAATGAAGCCCCGTGGCCAGGTCTCTCGGGGAGGTAGAGGCACGTGGAGCCTGAGCCGCCTGCCCAGTGGCTCCACGTTCTCCCCTTCTTCCTCACAGCAACCTCCTCTCCATCTCTCCTCCTTTCTTTCCAGCAAGAAGGCATCAGTGCTGATCAGACTCCTGCGCTGGTGTGGGCACACATGTGGGTATGTGGGGGGGGGGCTTGCATATGCCTGTGAATCCGCGTGTGTGTGGGTGTGCATCTGGGCACATGCATGTGAGCTTGTGTGGATCTGTGTGTTCCTGAGACTGGGAATATGACTAAGATGGCCACGATCTCTAATTAACCCTGTACTGAGGTCCTTGCCAGTGCCATACGACGGGGAAAAGAAAGGAAAGGTGTCAGGTTTGGAAAGGAGCATGTTATGCTGTGGTTATTCACAGGTAACATGATTATATGTAGAAAATCCAAAACAGCCTAGAGATGAGCTATCAGAATAAACCGGTTAACTTAGCAAGGTCCCTGAATGCAAGATCAATAAACAAAACTTAAATGGATGGCTATATATTGACCACGAATCAGTGGAAATTTTTAAAAATTTAAATCCTCAAAAACTAATGATGTAACGTATGGTGATTAACATAACATAACAAAATAAATAAATAAAATAATAAAAATTTAAATCCGATTTACAGTGGCACTGAAAGATATCAAATACCTAGGAATAAATCTAACAACAGATGTGAAAGCTCCCTACACTGAAATGTAGAAAACACCACCAAGAAAAATTTAAAAGATCTAAATAATCGGAGGGCTATGCCATGTCCGTGGATTGAAAAACTCAGCATTTTTTTTAAGCTGCCAATTCTCCCCAAATTAATCTACAGATTCCATGCAATTCTACCAAAATCCCAGAAAGGTGTGAAGGGGTGTGTGTGTGTGAGCAAAAACTGACAAGATAATTCTAAACTTTATGTAGAAAAGCAAAAGGACCCAAAGTAGCCAAGACAATTCTGGAGAAGAATAAAGTGGCAGGATTTACACTAACAGGCTCGAAGCCTAGATATTAGGAAGCTACAATCCTTAACATGAAGTGATATTCATTCAAAGGTAGATAAATTGACCAATGGAACAGAAGATCATTAGCAGGTCCAGGCACATTTGAACACTTGATTTATCACAAAGATGAGACTGTGGTACAGTGGGAAAAGCATAAGAGGCACTAGCATGATTGAGTATCTGTCCTGGGGGGAGCAGGGGGCGGGGGTGGTGGGATGGAAGGAAAGAAACATAATCCCTGCCTCACACCCTACACAAAAATCAATTCCAAATGGAATGTAAATATAAATATGAAACAATAAAGCTCCCTTTAAATGACAGCAATAGAGAGTCTCATCATGACCTTGGGGGGAAAAACATCTCAATCTGGCTCCAACCTCCCCCTCCAACAACACACTATTAACCAGAAGATTGACACACTGGACTTCATTGAAATTAAGAGCTATTCATCCAGACACCATGAAAACAGTGAAAATGCAAGGAACGGATGGGGAGAAAGTATTTGCAAAATACATAACAAAGTGCTCGTATCCAGAACATACAAAGAATCTGCTACAAATCAGTAAGAAAAAAACTGACAATACTTTTTTTTTTTTAATGGGCAAAACTAAAAACAAAAACAAAAATGGGCAAAAGTTTTGAACAGGTGCTTCACAAAATGGAATACCCAAGTGTCCAACACGTATATGAAAAGCTGTGCAGCCTCCTTATTAACCAGGGAAATGCGAATCAGAACCACAATGAAATAAGACCAAGAACCCACCAAAATGGCTAAAACGAGGGGACAGCATCAGGTGTTGGCTAGGATTTGGGGCAAGCAGAACTCTTCACATGCTGCTGCTTGGGGACAGTTTGGTGCTTCCTCTTTACCTAATCCACTTTATGATCCACATCGACTTCTATGCAGATACCCAACGGAAATGCACAGTTTTGCATAAAATATATATGGTAGAAAGGAACAAATCACAACTATGCCCCCAACGATGGAAGAATTCCAGATGCACTGTGCAGTGCCAAAAGCCAGACATGGCAGAACATTCCATCTAATTCCATGTAGGAGAAGTTCAAAAATAGGCAATATGCTGATGGGAGACGGGATAGTGGTTAGCCCGGGGGGGGGGGCGGGTAGCGATGTCAGGAAGGGGCCTTTGGGGACACGTTCTTCTTCTTGTCCCGGGCAATGGTTACACAAGTGTCTTTGCTTTGTGATCATTCACTGAGCTCGCCAGCTGGCTTCTTTGGCACGTGTGTTACATCGCAATAAAAAACGTTATTCTGTAAAGCAAAGCAGCATAACCAAAGGTGGTGGTGTGGTTGGTGGGTGCTTATCTTTGGTCTTCCACTTGTGGACTGTGAAAATTGAGCCAAGTGTCTCCCCCTTCCTTGAGCCTCCTGTTTCTCACCTAGGAGATGGGGACGATGGCATGCAGCTGGGAGGGGTTTCGTCCCATCTACTGATGCTTACTGTGCCCTACCACACTCCAGGCACCGTTTTGAGAGCTTTCAGCACTTTTAATAGATCACATTCTTCTATCAGCCCTGTGAGGAAGGTTCTAACAGCCCCAGTTGCTCTTCTGAGGTCCTTGGACCAGCTCAGATTCAAAATCACAAGCTTTCTGATTTGAGAAAGGTGATGTCACCTCACACCTGTTGGAATGCCTATTATAAATACCAAACAAAGGACAGGTGCTGGCAGGGATGTGGCAAAGCTGGAACCCTTGTGCCCTGTTGGGGGAAATGCAAACTGGTGCAGCCGCTGTGGGAAACAGCATGGAGGTTCCTCTAAAAAATTAAAATAGAACTACCGTGTGATCCCACAATTCCACTTCTGAGTGTCTAACCAAAAGAATTGAAATCATGATCTTGAAAAGATATTAGCTTCCCGTGTTTTCTGTAGCACGATTCACAACGGCCAAGGTGTAGAAACAACCTAAATGCCCATCAACAGATGAATGGATAAAGAAAAAATGATGCGTGCATGCGCACGCATCCTCACGCTGGAATATTACATAGCCTTAAAAAAGAAAGGGATTCTGCAATAGATAACAACACTAATGAACCTGGGGGACATCGTGTTAAGGGAAATAAGCCAGTCACAGAAGGACAAACACTGCAGGGACATGGTCCCACCCTGAGGTCCAGAGGGTCCCACCCAGCTTGAAGCCCAGCAGGAGAGGCCCCAGGATGCTCACACTGCTCTCAGGCCTGCTGAAAGGGATCTGCAGCCGGTCCATAGCCTCAATCATGGCCCACATGGAGACAAAGATGTTCTGGTAGACGAGGGGCCGGAAGCCCTTGCGGTCCTCCTCCGAGTAGCCCGCCCCGTGGATGATGCGCATCTGCTTGATGAACGTGCTCTTGCCGCTCTCACCAGGCCCTGGGGAGGCACACGAGCAGCTCAGCCCTGGGGCTCCCGCCACCCACCACCCAAGCCTCCAGGGCTCAAATCCCGGCTCAGCCAGGGCCGCACTCTGTGACCCTGGGCGAGCGCCTTCACCTTCCGGGCCTCAGTTTCCCCAGTTGTAAGACAGGGTTCGCAACAGACCCTGCCCGCTAGCTCCCAGGAAAGGAGCTCACTGTAAGGGGCTCCCGGGGGGGATCAGCAAACTATGGCCTGACGGCCGATCCAGCTGGCTGCCAATTTCTGCGTGGCCAGCAAGTTTTTACAGTTCGTATGGTAGCTTTTGCATCTCTGATACTTTTTACAGTTGTAGTTTTTACATTTCTAAATGACGGAAAGGAATTAAGAAAAAAAAATACTTTCGTCACACGTGGAAATGATATGAGATTCGTGCATCAGTGCCCATAAATAAAGTTTTATTGGCACACAGTCACGCCCGTGTGTGTACAAATGGTCTATGGCTGTTTCCTCACCACAACAGCAGAGCTGAGCAGGTGGACAGAGACCGCCTAGCCCCCAGCACTGAAAATACTCACCATCTGCTTGTACAGGAAAAGCTCGTGGACCCCTGGCCTGCAGCATGCCTGGACACAGTAAGAGCTACACTGGCGTTCACTATGCTCAGTAACAGCAGCATTGACTCTAGTTAGAACTGCTGTTATTATTATTTGCTATGATAATTTCGGGTAGAGAAACTTTTATGAAGGAAATACAATAGAATAAATAGTGTTTAGCTGACTATAGCTGAATGCCAGGGAAGGCTTCTCAGTGAAGGTGACTTGTGGAGTTGAGATCTGAAGTCTAGGAAGGTTGCTCTTGTGCCAAGATGTGGAGGAAGGGCACATCATGCAGAGGGCACAGCCCGTGCAAAGGTCCTGGGGCAGAACCAGGCCTGGTGTGTTGGAGAACAGCGAAGATGCCATGTGGCTGGAGCAGAGTGGGTGAGGGAGAGAGAGGGAGGAGGGGAGGGCAGGGTGGGGATGGGGCAGGTGGTGCAGGGCCTCAGGGACCACGGAGAGGACTTGGACTTGGACTTGGACTTTGATTGACCCCAGGAAGGTGGGAGCCCTGGAGGGCGGTGGGGAGTGGTACTCCTGTCCCAGGTCCTCACAGGCATCCTCTGGCGGGGGGTGCAGTGAAGACAGGCTGTGGCGGGCAAGGGCAGGAGCAGGGGTTCCGGGGTGGAGGTCTAGCTAAGTGATGATGGGGGCTGCACCCAGGTGGAGAGAAGGGAACGTTTGAGAGATGTTTGGAAGATAGACTCAACAAGACCTTGCTGAGGGACCAGAGGGGTCCTTGCAGGGCCAGCTACACAATTTGCGGGGCCAAGGGCAAGATGAGGCCCTTTTGAGCCCAGGGCGCTGTGGGCCTGCCCCGGCCTCACACCCAGGAAGCTGGCCCTGGGCTTGTGACAGTAACACTTGGATCTTCAACAGCCCGGGGCTGGAAGCTCAGGGACCAAGGCTCAACGCCCCACTGTCTGAGCTCTGGACTCTCCCTCTCTGTGTGCCTCTGTTTCCCCTTTTGTCACGTGAGTGTGACAGCCAGGCAGGAGGTGTGGGACCAGGAGGCCCCTCCAATACCTTCCTGCCCTGCCCAACTCCAGGGGGACACTGGCAGGGGGTCCTTCCAGGGACAGGGTGGCAGACTGGAAGGAGGAACAGGAAGCAGCAGAAAAGGAAGGGGTGGTCTGGTTGGAGCCCAGAAAGAGGAAATGGGGCAGAGGGAGCAGAGGTTGGGGGGAGGGTGGGAAGCAGAGAGAAGAGGAGGTGCCGTCTTGCATCACCGCCCCCCAGAAGCTCCCTGTCCCCACGTATCTGAGGGCAACAAGGGCAGGCCGGGGTGACACCAGGTATTCGTTAAGTCCACTGGACTCGAGGTCCAAGAGAAAGAGGTGTTTTTCTCTTGTCCTGAGGGACATTGGCAGGGAAAGGGGAGAGTGGCCAGGCTGTGAGTCAGGTGTGCGGGCCAGGCTGGTGGAAGGTTCTGCACGGCGCTCATCACCTGCTCTTGATCCTCGTCCTGGGAGGGTCCCTGCTTTGTGGTGGGACTCAAACCCATGAAGTATTTAGGGGTAAAAAGCTGTCAGGCCTGCAACTTACTTGCAAACAGTTCAGGGGGATAAAAAATGAGTATGTAGTGTATTAAATACACGAGTATATAGTAAAACAAATTATAGATATAAGTATTCGTTATATAAATTACGAATATACACACATATCTGGATACATAGAGTGTGTACACAGAGAGAGAGGGAGAGAGAGAGATGGAGGACAGAGGGAAAATGGTAAAATGTCAACATTTGCAGAAGAATCGGGCGCCACTTTTCCGCGAGGTCTGAAAGTATCTCAAACTGAAAAGTGAGGATGCTGAAGGGGACGCCCGAACAGAAAAAGGGCCCCAGCGGAAAACCAGTCACATTCCGAGTCGGGCATGAATTTCCCAGCCGTGACAAACGTGCTGTGCTCTCCGACATGTGAACTCGAGTGGAAGCCGTTTAGGAGTCAACAGGAACCCTCTGTACTACATTTGCCATTTTCCAGTACATCTAAAATTATTCCAAAATAAAAAGTTTCCCCCAAACACCCAAACACCCCACGCCACGGGTCCACAGGCTGAAACTCTCCAACGCGGAGCCGTATGTGTCTGAGATTACGGAACTTCTTGGGTTCTAGGAAGGGATGCATCCAGCTCACCAAATGTCCCTGCGGGGGGAATGTCCGAGAGAATATCACAGCCGGAGTCAAGCCGAGGAGCCCGGGGCGGGGGGCGGGGGGTGGGGGAGAACACCCAGCCCCCAGAGCACCCGCAACACAGCATGCAGCGGCGGCCGTGAGCCCGGCCCGAGGGACGGCTCTTGGCTCACTCTTCGTGTGGGGAAACTGAGTCCCAGATAGGCTGATGGGATTGCCGTGGGCCATGCAGCTGATAAGTGGCCGAGCTGGGACGTAAACCTCGTAAACCTCGTTCCGTCTGAGTCCTGGGTTTTAAGTAGGATACCAGAAAGATCCCCATAAAGATAATCACAGCGAGCGTGATTTAGCTCTTGGCGTCTGCCCAGCCCTGGGCCAAAACAGTCCGTGCCTGTCCTCAGTCGATCCTCACAAAGATTCCCACTGGCTTACCATCTGCAGATGACACCCAAGGATCAGAGAGGTGAGGTGATTTTCCCAGGGTCACACAGCCAGAGGAGAAGCAGAGCAGTAAACCCAAGCCCTTACGGTCCTGAGCCAACAAAATGGGATACGGCCAGCCAGCCGGGGCAGGCATCACCCGAGTATCAGACGACGTCACCCGAGTATCAGACGACGTCACCCGAGTATCAGACGACGTCATCCGAGTATCAGATGACGTCATCCGGCCGCAGACACTCAGAAGCTGGACAGCTCCTGCGGGGGGGGGGGCGTACTGAGGCCAGTGCAGGGGACCGCGCCCTTTGCCCTCTCAGACCTTGGTCTCCCCCAGGAGTGTGGAGGGCAAGCACAGGTCTCACAAAGCAGCAGCTAACTTGCTTTTCTTCTCTTCTCTTCTGTTTCATTAAAGGGAAAAAAAAAAATCCTGGTCACCGCCCACAAGATGGATCGTGTGACTCACGGATGGGTCACAGGCTGAAGTCTGAGCACTCCAGCGGGTGGAGCCCCCTCTTTGCAGCCCAGGGCTATCCTGAAGCCAGGAAGGACTCTGGAACTTCTCCAGGCCCAGGCTCCCGGTCGGCTTCGGGACCCCCCACCTCACCCCGTGGGGCTGTGGGCCACAGGGAGAGCTCTGCCCACCTGGCGGGTCAGAGGGAAGTGACTGCTTCCTTCTGGGGATGGGTGAGGAAGCGGAATCTTGCAGACACCAGGAGGGGCTGTGCCAACCCCGGGCATCACGAGACACCGTGAGCCTCCTTCCCTAGTGGGTGGCCGCTCCAGGAAACGGGGCCTCGGGGTCACAGGGAGCCAGGCCTGGGCAGCTGGAGGGCAGGCAGCTTGACATCTATGTCCAGCTCAGGCTCAGACAGGCTGCCGACCCCAGCCCAATCCTGTCACCTCCCTGGGCCTCAGTTTCCCCATCTGTCATTGGGGAATCGGGGCTTTTCTCTCCAGGGGCACATTCACAGGGAGGTCAAATGCATGGGCTTTGGAACCAGAATTCTAGGTTCTGATCCTGGCTGTGTGACCTTGGGCAAATTGCTTCACCTCTCTGGGCCTCGGTTTCCCCATCTTATCTACCTCAGGCGCTGCGGACAGAGCTGGCTCCTTTAATGGCTTCATTCTGATGCCCCACATTCCCCAACAGCCAGTCGCTTCCTGTCCAGGACAGATCCCTGGCCCCTCAGCCCACTTCCTCAAAAAGATCAGCCACCTCCAGGAAAAAATAACTTTTGGATTCAATTCCTGTTTTCAAGAAGGAAGGGGTGGTGTGAAGGCTGCCCTCGGAGCTGGGGGTGGGGGGGGTGGTCAAGACCACAGTCCATAGCGCGGTCCACAGGGCCACCATCAGCATGTGGGACATGGACAACCTCCCCTCCCCCCACCTGACACCAGCAGAAGGGGCTTCCTGATGCGGGGCTGGCCCGGCGTGGTCAGAGCCGTGTAGGGGCAAGGGACCGCCCAGCTCTGGTGCAGCTCCAGGGAAAATCGCCCCTGAAACAGGACTCACCATCCCCTTATTCATTTATAAAGTTTGCTCTGGGCATCCGCTCTCTGTCGGGGTCACCATGCTCCCGGGCCGGATGCTGGGGACCCTGGGAATGAACGAAAGAGACACGGTCCCCACCTTTGTGCTGTTTGCTGTGTCACTGGAGAGACAGACAATGAAGAACAGTGAACAAGTCTAAGAGAATGTCAGTGGGTGAGTGCTCGGAAGAAAGATCAAGTGGATCAAGTGGAGGAAAGAGAAGGGTGGACGACCTTTGTAGTCAGCGAGTCCTGGAAGACTTCTCCGAGGAGGAGACACATGGGCCATGCTGCCTGGAGTGAGAGCACCAGCTGTGCGGAGGCGTGGGTGATGCTGACAGGTCCTAGCAGGAGAACAGCATGTGCAAAGGCCCTGAGGTTCGGGTATATGAACTTGAGGTGTGCAAGGAAAGATCACCGAAACTGATAAACCCGAGCCTGATGGACGGAGGAAAAGCAAGCAGATGGAACCAAAGAGAGGACACCACCCCAAATGCTCTGGGCCTGAAAAGGATGATGAGGGGCCTGTGGTAGACAACTGGATGCCCATCCCTTTGACAGCTTCGAAGAAACGGGCAAGTGCTTTGACAGGCACCGACAACCAAAAACAGCCTAGCTAGCCCTAATAATATTATTATTAAAAAGTAATCAATCACACATCATCTATCATACCTATTATTGCTGTAATAACCTACCTGGTCTGAAGAAATCAGAGATAGCTATTAAAGTAATTAAATTCTTAATTAAAAGCTTCCAGGCTCAGACAGCCTCATTGGTGATTTTACCAAAGTGGTGGGTTTTTTTGTTTTTTGGGTTTTTTTTATTTGACAGAGAAAGACACAGCGAGAGAGGGAACACAAGCAGTGGGAGTGGGAGAGGGAGAAGCAGGCTTCCCGCCGAGCAAGGAGCCCGATGCGGGGCTCGATCCCAGGACCCTGGGATCATGACCTGAGCCAAAGGCAGACGCCTCACCGCCTGAGCCACCCAGGCGCCCCAGATTTTACCAAAGTTTAAGGAAAACAAAATAGTCCATGAAAAAAAGCAAAGAAGCCAAGTGGCCACCAAAGGATTATGGGAGGAAGGAGTAGGAGCTGGGGTCTGAGAGGCCACGGGGCCAGAGCCTGGACCCGACAGGCCATCCCCGTGCCAGCTTCCTTGGAAAACTAAATGCGGGGGGGGGGTGTGTCTTTTACCGGAACTGCGTGTAAGACTAGAGTGAGAAGGGCCCTGATTCAGGCGCGGTCCCAGGGGCCCCATGCTTTCACTCCTCGGGGTCCTTGGGGTCCTTGCCCACCGAGCCAGGGAAGAGTGAGGCCAGCGCACAGATGGCCAGCCTCCTGGCCCAGGGCCGGCCGGGCGGCAGCTGTGACTCGGGGACACCTGACACCTTCCCCACACCCCGCCCCCCACCCAGCTGGGGCTCAGGTTGTCCCGTGCAGGGCAAGGTCCGTGGGGAAAGGACATGCGAGCGGGACAAGACTTGGAGCTTCCCAGGGCCGCAATCTCAGAGCCTTACAACCCGCCGAGCCCGTCACTCCTCCCTCCCACCCTGTTTTCTTTTCCTCCTTGCTCTTCTTGCCGCCGGAAATTATTTTATCTGCTCGTTGGTTTACGGGCTAACGTCTGTCTCCCTCATGGCAAGATGAGGTCCACGGAGGCCGGGACATTGCCCATGTCTGTAGCTGCTGCACCCCAGGAGGTATTCACTGTTTCTTGATTGAATGAATGAATGAATGAATGAGTCAACCGCCCGTCACTCAGGCAGGGCCGACTGACAATGCTCTGCCCAGGGGACTCCGCGGATGGTCAAGTCCTCCGTGGGGCGGGCCGCGTGGCCGGGGAGAGGGCGGGAGGGCCTGTGTGGATGGCCAGCCGGCGAGGCCTGGGCAGGCTGCAGACCTGAGCTCCTGACTCTGCAGCCGGATCCGGTAGGGCGTGCTGGGCCTGCCACCCCCGGGCCGCCTCCGCTCCGGCACTCGCCCTGCCAGGCGCCCGGAGCCGGGTGTCTCTGTGCCTCGGTCTCCGCGCCCAGAAATGGGCTCCCAGACTCTGCCAGCCTGGTGGGGGCCCCGTCCCGGTCCCCGTCCCGGTCCCTGCCGGCCCCGCCGGCCCCACTCACCCAGCAGCAGCAGCTTCAGCTCCCCGCGGTCCCGTTTCTTCTGCTCCAGGAGGATCCTGTTGATCTCCTGGTCGATGCGGGCCGCTGCCTTCTCGTCCTCGGTCAGGCACCAGGGACAGCAGCTCCAGGTCAGCGAGTGGGCCATGGTGGGGACCTCAGCGGGCACGAGGCGGCATGGCCCCGGCCCCGGGGAGGGCACCCCGCCCGGCCGGCCCGGGGAGGGCTCCTGGCCGCCGCCGCTGCTCTCTTCTGGGGGGGTCACCCCCAGGGACCCCTGACTTCCCGGCCTCGGGCACCGGGCGCCCAGCTCAGCGAGGCCTGAGTGCCCAGCACAGGCGGGCGGGGGCAGGAGGAGGAGCCCAAGAAGGTGTGGAGGTTCAGGGCTCCCCGACCATCTCCAGACCTGCCTGCCCAGCCCTGCCAAACTGGTTGAGGGTGGGTGCCCCTGGGGAGGGCGGGCTGCCCTCAAGGAAAGGCCCTGGCCACAGTCAGCCTACCACAGCGTCTGCTGGGCCCTCCTTCCTCATTCTGGAGAAGGGGGTGGACTCCATCCTCCCTGGGCCTCTGACACCGCCTCCGGGCTGGCCCCGGGCCCACCCCTTCTTCCCCTCCACGGAGCCAATTAGGAGACATCATCAGAGGGCCAATAACAATCTTTTTCAAAAAACAGTGAAGGCCAGGGCTCCCACGTATGAGAGTTCCTGTTACCCCGCATGTGCAGATGAGCAAACTGAGGCACAGAGCCAGGAAGTGACGTGCCAGGACAGCCCCGACAGCGGCGGCAGAAGGACCAGACGGGGCTGGGAGTCCGCGGGGCCCCGGGCTCCAAGCGCTGACCAGGCAGCCCTGGGGAGGGGCTGTTCCTTCTTCCTGCAAATATTTACTGAGCGCCTACTGTGTGCCAGGCAAAGGACAAAAGGACAAAATCCCCGGCCTCCCTGCCTAACATCTCAGATAAAGACACGGACGAAGAAACACAATTTTTAAACATATTCCAGTCTGTTGGGTGGTGATACATTTATTCTGAACAAAAAACAAAGCAGAGCAGGGGGCAGGGGATGTTGGGGTGCTGGGGCTTTAAATAGGGGGTCAAGGAAGGTCACACTGACCGGCATCAGAAGAAGGAGCTGAAAAGGCAGCCTGGGCGTAGGGGGACCTTGGGAGTTGAAGCCGTTCAGGGAGAGTTCAGGGACTCTCCGGGCGAGGCCACGGGGCCACCTGACCCTACCCCCTGAGCCCCCAGGACCCTAGAAGCAGGATGGTGACAAAGCAAGGGGAATGTCACGGCCGCTTCCTGGATGGACGCTCGCAGCAAAAGGGGAGGTCTTGGGTTGTCTCCAATCCCATAGATCTTTGCCCTGTTTGGGTGCAGAACCCCCTTTAAGAGGTTCTAGAAAGCTCTAGAAAGTTCTGGAAAACCCCTCCCCCTGGAGGTACGCATAATTCGGGAGCCTCTGGCCACCTCTCAGATGGTGGTAGCAAGGCTCAGAGAGGGTGAGAGAAGAGCCTGGATCACACAGCAGCAACCGTCGGCCCTCCCTCACGCACGGCCGGCGAGACTGTGCAGTTTTCTTTGCTGTTGATTCATAACGAATGGCAGATGGGAAGTTCGATAGGGCCCCCCCACCCCGCGTTGGGTCACTGGGGCTGGTAGGCGCTGCCCTGCTCACCCGCCCTCCCGCCCACAACCGGATGGCTGTGAGGAGAGGTGCTCCCCAAGGCTGGAGGCCTGAGCGACTTCCCACTCTTGGGGCCGATGAAGAAAAGCAGAAGTAGGTCTGAGCCAGACAGAGCTGGGAGGGCCGCAGAACAGAAAGAACCAGCTTGGCAAAACCAGGAGGCCGGGCTGAGTCACAGACGCACAGGACACGGAGGGGCCCCCCCTGCCAAGTGTTTCCCCGAGGGGACACCAGGCTGCCACAGGCCACAACAGGACCAGGGTGTGGGGGCCTTGGCTTACCATCTTCCGTGGCTGCCAGGGGCCTCAGAGAAAATGAACCAGCTCCTCCATCCCCACCCCTCTAGTGGCCCAGCCTCTGAGAATCTCTCCAGCTTCAAAATAAATCTCCTTTCTGGTCCCTTGACAGGTGAGCTGCTTCCTTTCTCCATGCCAGCCGCCGTGTGGGACATCTGTCATGTTTCAGTTCATTCGGGAATACCAGGGTGAGCTTGGGTGCATATTTTTAAGACACACACACACACACAACACATAAAACATGAATATACAACGTAATAAATTCTTGTGAAACCAACAACCACGTGATCGGCACCCAGGCGAAGACGAAGGATGTCGTCAGCCCCAGGAGGGTGCCCAGATGTTCCTTCCTTCTGCCCAGCGGCCCATACGGCTCCGACTTCCACGGTATCCTGTGTCCAGGGAGCACTTTTTGGTAATAAGATTTATCTTGTCCTTCATTTCTAAAATTTACATGGCGCTGTATTCACTTTCTTGGGTGTGAGGTTCTACAAGTTTCGACAGAGGTACAGACGTGGGAATTACCACCCGCACAGTGGCCAGGATGTGGCTCCATCCCCTGAAAATCTCCCTTCAGGTACCCGCCCCCCCGGGTCCTCAGACCCTCACCCGGCTCCAGTCCCTGGAAACCGCTGATCTTCATTGCCATGATTTTTAAAATATTTCTCAGGATGTCTTATCAAAGCAAGCCTACTCTTATGTAGCTTGTCAGGTTGGCTTCTCCCCCTTAGCGTTTGAGATTCACGTCTTCAAGCAGGGGTCCCAGGCCTCCTTCCGACCGCTGAGCGGCTGTGGGACACCACCCAGCAAGGTTCATCCACAGAACACGGGGCGCTGTTTCCCATGCAGGGTGATCGTGAAGATCGGCTGCTACAAATACACGTGTTCATTTCTCCAGGATAAATCCCTCGAGGTGGGATTTGCAGGGCCAGGGTCTGCAAGGCACCGTGAACGGCTTCCCAAAACCGCCACACCATTGTGCATGGGCAGCCACGATGGATGACACACCATTGTTGCTCGGCGTCCTCTTCAACACGTGGTGGTGTCCGTATTTTTCATTCTAGCTATTCTAAGATGTGCGTGATGGTGTCTCCTTAGGGAGTTAATCCGCGTCCCCCCGATGAACTAACGGTGTCTAGGCGCCCTCCGTGTATCCTCCTCGGGGAAGGATCTAGTCACGTAATTTGCTATTTCTTTTACTGCGTCGTTGTCTTACGACTGCGTTTGGGAAATTTTTGTACGATCCTGATACAAGTCCCTTATTGGGTATGTGGTTTGCAAATATTTACTCCTAGTCCGTAGGTTGGCTTTTCATCCCCTTAACTATGTCTTTCATGGAGCAAAAGTTTTAAATTTCAATGCTGTTCAATGCCCATTTTTTAAACTCTGTGGATCATGCCTTCGGTGTTTTATCTGAGGATTTTTTGCCAAATCCAGGGCCGTGAAGATGTTCTCTGTTCTTTTCTTCTGGGAGTTTTACCGTTTTGCACATTACATTTATTTTTTTTCTTAATTTAAAAAAAAATTTTATTTATTTATTTGAGAGAGAGAGATAGCGAGAGAGAGCAGAGCAGGGAGGAGAGGGAGAAGCAGGCTCCCCTCCAAGAAAGGAGACTGATGTGGGACTCGGTCCCAGGACCCTGGGATCATGACCTGAGCCAAAGTCAGATGCTAAACGACTGAGGCACCCAGGCGCCCCTACACGTTACATTTAGATCTACGATCCTCGTGTTCATTTTTGTGTAGGTTGAGGTTCTTCCTCTTCTTCTCCCTCCTCCTCTTCCTTCTCCTTCTCCCCTTCCTCCTTTTCTTTCTCCTCCTCCTGCATGTGGACGTTCAGTTGTTCCAGCACCATTTGTTAAGAAGACTGTCATCTCCTTTCAGGCCCTCCACATCTTGCCTTGTGTATCTCGTGCATCCCCACCTGAATCATCTTGTCCTCTGGTGAGTTGATTCTCTTAGGTAAAGTCCCTCTTTGCTTCTTCGCTTTTCTTTACTAATTCACAACCGAATTAAGCAAACCTAAACATCGTGTTTCATTTCTGCCAGTTTTGAACTTTATCTGAGTAGAATTGCACAAGATGAACTCCGGAGAGTCTAGTTTCTACCCCTGACTCCGCGTCGCATGTGGTCGTTAAGTCCTCAGTCCTCACGGCCGAGTATCCCCCCATCTCTTCATCCATTCTTTTGTTTTTCTGATCAGCGTTTGATACTTGTGATGTTTAATTGACATGACTTTGTATCGGTTTCAGGTGTACAGCATACAGACCCAATATTTGTGTTATATTGTGAAATGATCACCACAGTGGGGTCCAGTTAACGTCTGGACCCACATGTAGTCACATTCTGTTTTCCTGGGATGAAAAAGCCTAAGATCTACACTCAGCAGCTTTCAGATATGTTGAGTACGATCCCCATGCTTCGCTATCCTCCTGTCGTACTGTTGATGGGCGTCTGGTTAAATTTCAGCTCAGGGCTGCACTGAGCAAACTGGCTATGGGCACTCGGCACACGCCGTCTGGTGACCGTCTGTCTGACTTTCTGTGGATAAATACCTGTGTGTGGCAGTGCTAGGTTATGAGGTATTTCCCAGATACTATGTTTTGCCAAAGTGCATGCACCAATTTACACTCCCACGAGCTCTGGTGAGTTTTCGTGGGATGCATTCATTCCTTCCCTCCCTGTCTCCTTTATTCATAGACGACATGCTCCTTTCTGCTTCTCCGGTACTAAAAATGTCCCTTCTGCTTCGGGCGCCTGGGTGGCTCGGTTGGGCATCCGGCTCTTGGTTTCGGCTCAGGTCATGATCTCAGGGTCCTGGGACCGAGCCCCATGTGAGACTCTGTACTCATCAGGGAGTCTGCTTGGGATTCTCTCTCCCTCTCCTTCTGCCCCCCCCAACTCGTGCACACACGCTCTCTCTCTAAAATAAATAAATCTTTTAAAAATGTCTTTTCTGCTTAATGAAGAATAGGATATTTACATCATTTCCAAGTACCTCCCACTCCTCAGATGCCGGGAGTCCATGGCTGTCCCTCCCTGGACCCTGCCCTTGGCCACACCTAAGGTCATGCCCACCCCCAGGAGTGGCCCAAAGGCAATGCTGGGATCCCAAGTTTTTAACTGATGAATCATTTATTTGGATAAGACAAGAAAGTCTTCATCCAGCGATTCCCACTGCCAGTTTTATATTCAAAAGAACGGAAAGCGGAACTCAGGTACTTAATATCTGTGTTCATAGCAGCATCCTTCACAGCAACCAAAAGGTGGACAGGTCAACAGGGCAGGCTTCGTGGGTGTGCAAACCTGGCCCTGCAGGTTTTCCGACTTGAAATTCTCCTACTGTTCTCCTACCGCGCTGTCATTTAGCCCCTGCCTGAGCCTAGCTGGACAGGCTGCGGCTGGCGCCCAAGTCCCGCAACCGCTGGCCTACCGTCAGGGCAGGGAACTGGCCACTCGGTGCCCTGGTTTCTCTATCAGAGCGGGATGAGAGGTCCTCCCCCGGAGAAAATGCGCTTTAGGGCTGCAGGGGGGCGGGGAGGCCAGAGAGCTGGCGAGCGGCACCTGCCGGCCGCGGGGGGCATGACGTCCAGGTGCGCCAGCAGTCTAGCGGGGCCTGCTCCTCCCCGCCGCCCACTTCCCGGATCCTGCCCCGCCTCTGCCTCCACCTGGTCAGCCCCCATCACGCCCGCCAGGACCAACGCAGTCCCCTGCACCCTGGTCCCCAGTCCCGCCCTCACCCCCAAGTCCACCCTCCCCTCAGCGGCCACCAGAGGGCGCCCGTGAGCACCCGAGTCAGGTCCCGCCCTGTTCAGCCCACAGCCCTCCAGGACTTCCACCTCCCTGGGGCCCAAGTCCTCCCCACGCGGTCCCCTAGGCCCTGCACGACCTGCTCCTGTCCCCTCCGCCGGCCCTCCCCTCCTCCTTCTCTACCCCTCACTCACTCTGCTCCAGCCACACAGGCCCCCTGGCTGTTCCTCCAACATGTAAGCCCAGTGCTGCCCCAGGACCTTTGCATAGGCTGTGCCCGCTACCGGCAATGCCCTCTCCTCGTGTCACTATTGTTACCCATCCTGCCCTCCCGCTCTATTTTTCTTCATAGATTAAGTCCTGGTGGCGAGGCTACCTCCTTCGCCATACCGCAGTGCCTGGGACAGTGCCTGGCACCATGGGCCTTCAAGGAGTATCTGACAGGCAGACAAGGGAATAAAACCAGAGGAGGATGTGCAGAAATTGAAACCCTTGTGCACAGCTGGTCTGAGTGTGAAACAGGGCAGACACTGGCAAAGGGGTTGGTGGTTCTTCCGAAAGTTAAATCGAGAACGACCATATGATCCGGCAATCCCACTTCTGTGTCTGTACCCAATAGAACTGGAAGCAGGGTCTCGAACAGGTATTTGCACACCCATGTTCACTTCAGCACGATTCACAATAACCAATAGGTGGAAACAACCCAAGTGTCCACTGATGGAGGGACAGTAAAGCAAAAAGTGGTTCATCCATAAAATGATTATTCAGCCTGAAGAAGAAAGAAAGGGACTCTGACCCCTGCCATGACGTGGAAGGACCCCGAGGACACCAGGCTCAGCGAGAGAGCCAGACCCAGAAGGACACATCCTGCAGGACCCCACTCCCAGGAGGTCCCCAGAGGAGTCCCGTCCACACAGACAGAGAGGAGAGGGTGGGAGCCGGGGCTGGGGCAGGGGGTGGGGAGTCCGTGCTTCAAGGGGACAGAGTCTCCGTGTGGGGAGATGGAAAGTTCTGGAGACGGAGGGTGGGGTGGCTGCAGGACGGTGTGAGTGTGCTTCATGCCACTGAGCTGTGCACTTAGAAGATGGTAAATTTTATGTTATGTGTACTTACCACTTTTTAAGAAGGAAAAAAGCCCGAGAGAAGACTGCAGAGACAGGCCCAACCTCCTCAGTTTACAGAAATAAATACAGAATGTCCAGAACCTGGGCTCCTCAGTCCCCGACCCCCAATCGGGAGGCACTTCTCTTGCCGGACGGTCCAGCCCGGCAGTACAGACAAATGAACTTGAAGTCAGGGCCAAGTCGGGGAACCTCAGAGCAGGGGCCCTGGTGCCAAGGCCAGAGGCACGTCCCGGGGCAGCCGTGGCCCCCGCTCCCGTGAGCTCACACACCAGCCAGCCACACGAGGACCAGGCAAGACCCTGCAGAGCTCGGGCACCCCTGCATTGCCCACCACCCACCCGCTCTGGCCAGCAATTGGAAATAAGCCAGAGGGGGCCACAGCATTTAGGAACAAAATTTATTCCAATTTAAAACAGAATTCATTTCAGGAGAAAGATATGAAAAGACAATTTCCATCAGCTATCTCTGGATTAAGGGGTCAGGGCCCCGACACGTTGAGCGAAGCCCGCCGTCCCCCCACCCCTGCCCCAACACGGCAGTCTTGGCCCCGGGAGGTTGGCACAGAGCTAACGGGCCTGTCCCCCAGCACGCACAACAATACATGCATTTCAAATGACAAAAGGTTTAAAAACAGTATTTTATATAATATTCTTCTTTAAAATAGGTTAAGGTTGAAACCGTCTGAAATCAGGACTGTGTAATATACAAGTATGACTGGAGAAGGTCCACTGGCAGCCGGCAAGCCTCCCGCACCGCCGCTCGGGGGCGCAGGCCCTGGGGCGTCTGGGGGGGACCTGACACAGTGGGAGGAGGATGGAGCCCCCAGGGTGGAAAACGAGAAAAACAAACCTCACACCATGGGCGAGGGAGGGGCCCGGACCACCAGGCCCCACTGGCACAGAGCGGTTTCTGACCCTCTAGGGCACACAGCCGTGTCCCCGCCCTCCGGTCCCGGGCCCTCAGGGTTCCGGAAGCGCCGGGCGGGGCTGCCATGGCGTGCCAGCCAGGCTTCGGCTCTGGGGTGCTTGGCACACTGCTCCCTCTGGGAAGAATTAATACTTCGGGTGCCCAGGCCCACATGCTCAGGTCACCCCCCCCCCGCGAGGCCCAATCCAGTTCCCTTGCGATCTGGGCCCGAGAGAGGCGCTGAGACATGGCGATGCGCACCCCGCGAGGACCCCGAGTGCCCTGGGCAGGCCCCCCGCCAGCAGCACCATCTGCTCTGGCACTGAGGGTGCAGGCTGGGGGCCTTGGCACACCCCTCCCGTGCAGACACGTGGCACTGCGAGGGTCCGTCCTGCCCCCGAGAGGGCTGGCCACTAGGAATGTCGCCGCCCCACCCCGAAGGGGCCCCCCAGTCGCCACAAGGCCCCTCCTAGCTCCCTCCTCCGACACCGGCAGGCTGGCCCCTGCGTCAGGCGAGCGGAGGGAGCGGGGCCAGGGGCAGCGGACGCCAGCCTCGGGGCTGCTGTCCGAGGCGTTTCTACTCTTCGTTGGCGGCCCAGACCAGCAGCGGCCACACAGACCGCGACCGGGCCGTGTCCAGATGCAGCGGGTGGGTCCAAGGCCTGGCAGTTCATTCCCGCTACATTGTGCAAATCAAAACAAAACCCACAGAAAAACACTGTAGTGCTCAGTCCACATCAGATGAAAACACACCCCCGCTTGTTCCCACCCTCCGAGCCCCTCGGGAGAAGGCGGCCCGGGCAAGGCGGCCCGTGGCTCTGGCTCAGTGCGTGGCCGTGGCCGTGGCCAGGCCTGGAAGCCACCCGGGGCCGCGGCGCCAGCGGCCACTGGCCCTCCACAGCTCGGGGCAAAGTGCGCATCGTGCTGCGTGCTCGCCTCCCGGGGCAGGGGGCTCGGGAGCAGAAGTGGGAGATGTGGGAGAAGGGCTTGCGCCGGAGCCCGCGCCTGGGAACCGCCACGGGCGACTCCCTTCTCTGCCTCTCGGGGACAGACCTGAGAATATTCTGAAGAAGTCCCCACCCTACCCTCACTGTTTCCAAGCTGGTTTCGAAACAGAACTAATCAAAAGCGACTCCCAATCCAGGAGGGCCCTCTCCCGGCTCCCTGGGCACAGCGGGGCGCCCTCGGCCCCTCGGGGGTGTCTGGACAGCAGCCTGTGGGCCCCGGGAGCCGGCTCACTGCCTTCCTTTCCTCACCCGGAAAAAAAAAAAAAAGGTTAGGCACTTCCCAGGGCGGGCAGCGGGGGGCGCCACCCACCCCCACTTCTTGGAGTCCAGGACGTCAATAACTTAGGGAGCGAGAGAGAGAGATAGAGAGAGAGAGAGAGAAGTCACAGTCCGGGGCCTCGCGGTGAGGGCCAGGAGCAAGGGGGGCGGGCCGGCGGGTGGCTCTGTCCCCGCTGGGTGCCAGGGGGCCGCCGGCCTGCAGTGGGGGCGCGTGCGCTCGCGTGTCTCGTCTCCGCTGGTCTCGTCTCCTTCTTTTCCTTTTTTTCTTTTTTTTTTTTAATAGAAAAAAGCGAGCCACGAGTCAAGGCCAGGAAAAGGCTGCCGCGCCCCGGACACAGATGAGGAGGTGCACGGGGTGTATAGAAAGAAACACGTACGTCCCCTGATAGCTGTGAAATAAAAACCCTTTGTTAAAAATAGGAAAACAAAACCAACTCGTCTGTGGGCGGAGCCGGGCGGGCTCGGCGCCCGACGGCTGTCCCTGTCCCCTCGGGGCAGCGGCGGCGGCCGGGTCAGACCAGGTTGTACTCCTTCAGGTTGAGCTGCAGGATGGTGTCCTTGACAGCCGCGAACACGAAGCGGATGTTCTCTGTGTCAGTGGCACACGTGAAGTGCGAGTAGATGATCTTGTCGCTGTCGGGGTTCAGGTCCACAAACATCTTCAGGATGAACTCCCGGGCGGCCTGCGCATCCCGCTGCGGCCCTGGGGAGGCGGAGACAGAGGCAGGTGAGCGAGGCCAGCCCGCACCTGCCGGGCACGGGCTGACACCCACGGTGCGCCCTGACACCCGCCGGGCGTGGACAGTCACCCGCCGGGCACGGACCGGCCTCATGAGGCACCTGCAGGTCGCGGACAGACACTGATCATGTGCAGACCGGCCGTGGGCAGACACCCACTGGGCGCGGACCGGGCACTGGCCAAGCAGAGGCAGCTCCTCCGGCCGCCCCCAGCCTCCACCCGGGGCCCTGGCGCCCGTGCGGCCCCTCGGCCTCTCAGCCAACTGCTGCCCACATCCGGCACCCCCTCCACCTCCAAACTGCGCCCAGCTTCCCGCCCAGCCCCATTTCACCGCACTGCGCTCCCACTTCCCTGACACCGACATCCAAACACAGGCAGGGGCCCACACGCGTGTCCACACGGCCCCACGCGCCCCTGCACACACGTGCACACTTGCATGGCTACCGTCCAGCTGTGCGCGCACGGCGATCGGGCCACAGCCACGTCCCCGCGGCTCTGGGCCAGCCGGGACCGAGCTGCTGGGGAGGGGTGGCCAGGCCCAGAGTGCCCTGGAGTCCCGTGTCCTGGCGGCAGCTGCGGCTGACGCTCACAGAGCAGCGGTGCCGAAAAGACAGCTGGGGACGGTCTGCGCTCAGTTTTGCCTCCTGTTAGAGCTCAGGCTAACCCGGGGAGGGGAAGAGGGTCCTGGGTCACCCCCTCATTCCCAGGGCCTCGCTCCTCCCCACTCAGGCTCCGGGCAAGCAGGGGCCTGGGAGCAGAGTGTCCCCGTGCGTCCCTCCTGTGGCTGTGCACAGACTGTGGGAGATCCCCTCTCCAAGAGGACGCCCCCCTGGGGACACAAGATCCTTCTGCTCACTGAGGCTTGGGTGGGGGGAGCACGGAAGCTCCCCAGCTCGCACGGACCGTGCCACCAGCCTTGGTCAGGGCCCGCACCCCCAAATCACAGAGACACCGAGGCCCAGAGCGTGAATGGGCCATGCCGGATGTGCCTGGCCCTCCCCGCCAGGATCACGGGGCCCAGAGAGGCAGGGAGCCCAGTCCCTCCCTGCTCTGGGTGCTCCCCCACTCCACCGCAGCTCCCGGCTCACCGTCGAACTCGGGGAAGTAGTCCACCAGGTGGGAGTGCAGGATCTTATCCTCCAGCAGGTCCTTCTTGTTGAGGAAGAGGATGACCGAGGAGTTCTGGAACCAGGGGTAGGTGATGATGGTCCGGAAGAGGGCTTTGCTCTCCTCCATGCGGTTCTGTGGGAAGGAAGACATGAGGATGGACGCTGCCCCCCACCCCCAGGGCCACAGGGCAGGGAGAGCGCAGAGAGGGGTCCCTCACCTCATTGTCCGATTCCACCAGCACTTGGTCATATTCACTCAGGGCCACAAGGAACATGATGGACGTCACATTCTCAAAGCAGTGGATCCACTTTCTCCGCTCTGACCTCTGGCCTCCCACGTCCACCATCCTGCAGGAGACAGGAGCCCCACAGGGGCTCAGCACCACAGTCGGCTGTCAAGCCCCTTCCACCAGCACGGCCGGCGTCTGCTAGAGCCCGGAGGGCCCCCGGGACAGCCCCTGCCCCCCACATCTGCCAGGGCCAGGAGAATACGCTGCGCCTGAACACCTGCACCTGATGGAGCAGTCGCAGGACTAGGGAGCCTGGGAACCCAGGTGCTCCCGGGGAGGAGGGGGGGCGGGACGGGCCGACCCCTGGACCTGAGGTCCCACATCTGAGACCCACCCCCTCACTTGGGCAACGTGCACACACGCCCACCACAGCACTGTCTGTGGGACACGGGAGAACGAGATAAACCGAGGACAGCCACGCGACGGACCCGCCTCGGCATCGCGAGGGGGTGGCTCACAGAGCGACACGCTTCCCCTGTTGCCAGGAGCAACGGCAGGTGGCAGTTTCCCGTCCAGCACGAGAAGCACGTGCAACCTAACAGTCCGAACAACAGGCTCCCGGGCAGAAGGGAGCAGCCAGGGGAAACGAGCAGCAGGGACGCCCCGTCACACTGGACTCACGACAGGCGTTTGCCGCTGGCTACCGATGAACTCCCTCAGTTTCCTCTGATGAGGAAAAACCACAGCAGGCAAGCAGAGTGGCCCTCAGGCAGGGGTCCCCGCAGCTGGGCCCTGCCCGGGGGGGGCGGGGGCCGCGGGGAGGGGCTGCCGCCGGAGCTGTCCCGGGCACGGCCGGCAGAGCCGGGCCGCCCAGCGGAGCTTGCACCGAGGAGACTCCAGCAAGCACAGGAGGGTGGTGACGGGCCCGGGGCCCCGGGCGAGGCCACCAGGCCTGCAGCAGCAGCTGTGGCCAGTCTGGGGAATGCGCCGGGCCAGACAGGCTCCGGGGCCACGGCCTTTCCGGAGCAGGAGGCTCCCCAGTAAGGTCCCCTGTTCGGGACCAGGCTCATCTCCTCACACACTGGGGCCGTCGGGCCATTACTCAATGCTGTCCCCGCTCCGGTCAGGGGCCAGGCCACAAGCTCAGGGCCAGGGCCCCCAGGCTGCCCCCACGCGTGCCCAGCTAATTAAGGGGTGGGCCGGCAGAGGACCGGCAGCGGCAGAGGGTGGGGGCCCATGACAGAGCAGAGCGCAGAGCGGGGAGGGGGCACCAGGGAGATGCCGGCCGGCCCAAGCTCGGGGAGGGGAGGGAGGGGGCCGGCCATCCCGGGCAGAGGATCCAGCAGGCACAGGCCGTGCCGCGGTCAGGGTGAGGCCAGGAGGACGCCCCGTGACGGGGGCTGGGGGCAGCACTCGTCCCAAGCCCCAGCCCGTGGTCCGCAGGCTCAGCTCTGAATTCAGAGGTTACAGCCCATCAAGGATCCAACGTAAACAAGAAAGAAAACTCAAACCTTGACCCCTCACCAGGAAAGGAAAACGTGCATCAGACCCGTGCAGGCTGGATGCCTACAGCTTCCAAGACTCTGGGGAACCACACAGGGCTTCCGACAGAGGCCCGGCGGGTGAGAGAGGGTGCAGAGGGCAGGGAGGGGTGAGGGCAGGCGGCCACCCCTGGCTGAGCTCTGGGGGTCCCTGTGGCGGGGCGGGTCAGGGCAGGGAGGGGTGAGGGCAGGCGGCCACCCCTGGCTGAGCTCTGGGGGTCCCTGTGGCGGGGCGGGTCTCGGGCCAAAGGGCACCTGGAAGCACACCCAAAAGGCTCCTCGGGTGCTCCCCAGAGCTGGCGCTTCGAGGCCACAGGACAGTGGCAGGTGCCACGGCTGACCACCTCCTTGGGACCCCGCCCCAGGAGCGTCAACTCCTCCCCAGCGTGAGCTTGCGCTGGGGGAGCAGAGGGCGCCCAGACGGGGCGCTGCGGGCAGTGGGGGGCTCACAGCTGGCAGACGGGACCCGCCCCAGCGTGGGCCTCAGGGCGCTGGGCTAAAACAGTGTCCCCCAAAACCTGGGGACGGGACTGACTTGGGAGCAAAGTCCCTGCAGATGTCATCAGTTAAAATGACATCACATTAGAGTGGGGTGGCCCTATCCAATCACCAGTGTTTTTACAGGAAGGGGGATGTCCGGACACAGACACACAAGGACAGGCCACGTGACCACGGAGGCAGGGATGGGGCGAGGGACGCCGAGGATGGCCGACGACCCCCAGGAGCCGGGAGACACGGGGAACAGACTCCCCCTCACGGCCTCAGAAGGAACCGGCCCTGCCCACACCCCGCTCCTCGGCTTCTGGCCTCCTGAGCTGGGACGGCAAACACGCCTGTGGGTTTCAAACCACCCGTCTGCGGTCATCGGCTGCGGCAGCCCCAGGGGACACACACTTGCCCTTGCTGCTCAGCAGCTCCGGACCCACCATGGCCTCGCTGAGTGGCGGGGCCTGTGTCCTCAAGGACGGCATCTAGTCTACTCCGGCCGCGCCACCTGCCAGGACTGGGCCCCATCCTGCCCACATGCCAGGAGCTACCGTGGGCCCAAGAGCCGGAGTCCGGGAACCACCTGTCGCCTGGCTCTGCATGGGTCCCCAGGGCCGCCAGGACCTCTCCACCGCCCCACAGCGTACCCGGCTCTTGCCGCAACTCCAGACCACCTGCCCACTGACATGCGCCGGCGTCCTCCCTCGTCCACGGTCCCGGCACAGAGGCCCCCGGAAAGCCCTCCCCTCCAGGCCAGCTCCGGCCAGCTCCGTCACAGCCCATACCACTCCCGGGACACGGCTCGCTCTGAGAGCCGGTGACTGTTATTTATGAGCCCGTCTCCCATCCCGGGCTGGAAGCCGCCGGAGAGCAAAGACTGGGGCCCGGTGAACCCGTCGCTGTCCCCGCAGCAGGTGCCTGGGGGCTGGGATGCGAACAGCCCCCACTGCAGCTCACAGAGCCCGACGCAGCCCCAGCACACGGCCGCCCCAGGGTGCCAGGGCAGAGGTACCTGAAGATGATGTTCTCCAGGTCGAAAGGGTACTCGATGATGCCAGTGGTGGGCACACGGACCCGCAGCACGTCCTGCTGGGTGGGCAGGTAGCCTGAGGTGGCGATGCGGTCCACGTCGGCCAGGTAGCTACAGCACAGCAGGGACAGGGCTGCTCAGGCCAATGGGCGGGGGGGACAGCCCAGGCACCACGGTCCCCCCAAGCAGCCGGAAGGGGCCCGGCACAGTGCCTCTCCAGCAGGGACGCAACAGCCCCGAGCACTTGGGACAAGGCAGACCTGGGGTCGGGCAGAGGCGTCCCCGGCCTGCCCTGGCTCTTACGGGACAGGCGGCCGCAGGACAGAAGTCAGGCTGGCTCTGGGGGTCTCTCTCACCGGGCTGTCTGAGGACGGCCGCCGCGGCGGGAGGAAGGGGGCTGGCTGGGCGGCCAGGCTGGAAGCGGACTTCTCACAATGAACTTCCCTGCCTCAGCACAGGGGCGGACTCAGGGGAGACACTACAAGATGCTCCGAAGCGACCGTCTCACGGCAGCCCGGCCCGCCCGCATGCCCGACAGGTCCCCTGCGGCCTGGCTGGGTCCGCGGGGCGGGCGCCCTACTCACTACTTGGCGGAGTCCGAGAGCTGGTATTCCCGCCTGCGGTCGTAGCACTCCTGGATGCCAGGGTCATCCCACAGGGTCTTGATGGCGTGCACATAGCGGTGCTCAAAGGTCGTCACCTTCTCCACATCTACCTCGCGGATCAGGAGCGCGTTGGCCTGTGGGGCGGCAGGGAGAGCCGTGGGCTCGCCGGCGCCCGGGCCCTGCGGGGCGCCTGCCCGAGGGGGGACCTCTGCCCCAGCGAAGCGCGCGCACACGTCAGAGAGGAGCGAGAGTGAGCCGCGGTGGGGGGTCCCCAAAGCAGAGCTCGAGGGCAAGGCAGCTCCTGGGGCCGGGCCTGCACAGCTGGGGTGCGCCCCAGTGCTGGGGTGCGGCTCCGGAAGCAGCCACACGCACAAACAAGCAGACTCCAAAAAGTGACCGAGGGCCGGACCCAAAAGAACAGAGCAATGAACACACACGCCGTCAGCAGCTCCCCTGTCCCCGTCTCACAGACTGCCTCAGAAGTCTGTCTGGCCTGCACCCCCTTCCTGGCACACAGCCCCTCAAACCCCAGCAATCTCTGAGGGGACAGTGGGCTGGGGGCGGGGCACCGGCCAGAGGAACCACTCGGGGCACGTGACTCAGGAGACCCCACTTCTCCGCGTGCCTGTCATCCTCAGGGTGGTCCAGCCACACAACCGGCCACCAGCAGAGGGTCTGGGAAGGACACACCTGGGCAGAAGCCAAAATGGGGAACAAGGGAGCCCTAGCCATGCTCTGAAAGCCAGTGGGCTCCTCCTGGGCTGGAGAGCTGCCCCACACTGCCCACCCCCCAGCTGTGGCCCCCAGCCCTCAGCTGCCCCAAAGTCTGCACCTACGGAAGCAGACACCTGCCCCGGAAAACCCCCGACTGTCAATGTGTGATGGTCAGGGATCACGGATCACTTCTATAAAAGCCCAGAGAACAGTGTTTTCAGCTTTGTGGCCCCCATCTCTGCCACTGCAGCAGAAGCCATCAAGGATGACACATAAACAAGGAGGCATCACGTGAACCAATAAAACTATTTACAAAAACACAACACGGTAGGCCACTGCTGTTCTAGATGCTGATGGACATCTACGGTCCGAACACCGGACCAGCTGGACTGTATGGTCTGGATGCTGGAGAGGGCCTCAGCTGAGCAGATCATACAAACCCAGACCCAGAGGACAAGAGGCTCCAGCAGGCCTCCCAACCCCACACCAGGCCCTGTTGGGGGTCCCCGATCATCTATGAACCCGGGATAGAGGGAGGAAGGTGCCAACTGGAGATATATCAACAACCTGGTTGACTGACCTTCTTAAGCCTCAAAGCAATGGATTCATTTAAACCACTACTGCATAAATATGGACTCCCGTGCCTCATGTCAGCCCGAGGCAAACTTCTGGGGTTGAATGAGAAACCCCCAAAAACAGATCTACAAAAGCAAAGCCAAGGGAGGCCACCAGTGAGAGCCCACTGGTGCATGACTGGGGGGAGTGCTGTGGCGAGAGTGGGCCAGCAGCTCCTACCAAGGCAGACCTCGAGCTGCCCTGTGAACCCCCGTGTCCCGGGAGCATGGCCCGGGGAAGTGACAACAGGTGTGCACACAGAAACCTGCATGTGAATGTCACCCCAGCAAGGAGACAAGCTGGAAAAACCCAAGCGTCCATCAGCAGGTGAGCGGATACACACTGCGTGTCCCCCCGCACACGGGAGCGTCACTCGGCCATCAGGTGGTGAACAGACACGTGAAAACGGCCGCCAGCAGGAGCGAGGTGCCCACACGCGCAGCCCCGGGGACGGACCCCAAGCCCACGACGCTCAGGGAGGGAACCAGACACAGAAGGCCACATGGGGCGTGAGTCCACGTGGGTGACACGTCCAGAACAGGCTCATCCGCGGACGGGACGGGGGCTCGTGGGGGCCGGGGGAGGGGAGACTGACTGCTGATGGGGACGGGGTTGTTTTTCAAGTGATGGAATGTTCCCAAACTAGACAGTGGTGGTGGTTGCTCAGCTGTGTGTGTTAGAAAGCTGTGAATTACACACTTTAAGGGGAGACATGCCCAGTGAGTGACTTTGGTCTCGATAAGCCACCACTCAAGAAAAAGGAAGGGAAGTGCCCCACCCCCCGGGATCACCCACACCGGCAGACACAGTGTGTGAGGGGCCGGGAGCTGCAGCTCACACTGCCCACCCCCGGGCCAGCTTCCCCGCTGTCGGATGGGGGCGCTGAGGGCTACCCGACAGGAGGGCTGAGGCTTGGCCAGGACGCGCCTGGTGCAGGTGCTCTGAGAAGGCAGGTCCTGGCAGGGAGGGAAGCCAGGCGCCGTGCTGTGTCCCGGGCGGCCCCTATCCGACGGCACCCCAGGCCTCACCTTGTTCTGCTCGTACTTGTACAGGATCTTTAGGGTCTCCATGGCGCGGATCATGGCCTGCATGGCAGTGAAGATGTTCTGGTACACGAGCTTGGTGAAGCCCCGCTTGTCCTCCTCTGAGTAGCCCGCCCCGTGGATGATCCGCATCTGCTTGATGAACGTGCTCTTGCCGCTCTCGCCCGTGCCTGCAAAAGCAGGGCGCATGAGAACAAGTCCGGAGCCAAGGCCTGCAGCCCCACCCCGCAGAGAAGGGTCGCTGGGGGGTCAGAGCTCAAGAACTCAGCCCTCTGAGGGGCTGTGGGACACGCTTGGCCAGCAGGCGGCCACTCTGCAAGGGGCTTCCCCCGTTGCAGCTTGGTCACGCCCCAAGCATACGACCCTTCTACACAATGGGAAAGCGAGGCTCAGCAATGGGGGGGCATCTGGCACCGAGGTACCAAGCAGGCTGGTACCCCAAGCATCCTGCCTAGTCAGACAGCAGGTGACCGGCCTCCGCACGCACTCCGTACCCCGGAGGCCGCAGTGAGGCACAGAGCCGTGGGTCTCCGCCAGGCGTCGCTGCCTCCTTGACCAGTCAGGCTGACCAGCTGTTGCCCCCCTGGGCCATACTCGGCCCCCCACACACGACGCCAGCCCCTTAGGACCTGCCCACGCCCACCGGGGACAGCAAGTCCAACTGGACAATGTCCCTGTGGACCCCCAACCATGTTCCTCTTCCAGGAGCCCCGCCAGAATCAACCTTACTTGGGGGCAAGAGTTTAGTATCTGCCCGGAAGCCAGGGCAGCCTAAGGACGGAATCTACCCCCACAATGGTCCTCAAAAGCTCCTTCCCAGTTAGCGATGAACTCATAAACCCACCCAGCATCACGCCGCCTGCTGAGCACTCCGAGCTCCCCCAGAGTGACCACAGCACCTGGACGAGTCCAGGCCCCGTAGCCCGCACCCACGCAGAGGGCCCCCCACCAGCTCCCCACTGGCCCGGGCGTCCGCTCTCTTCACCCCAGCCCACTGCCCTGGCCCACACAACATCAGACCACCCTGTCTCCCTTCCCCTCTGCAGGCGTGAGGGGATGCGGGACTCACCAGGCAGCACGCTGACCCCTCAGCCTCAAGGGATCGGAAGGATCCGCAAGTCAGCGGGAAGGCCATCCGGAAAGGGGCCACCTGGCCGCTGAGCCCTCATGCCAGCCCCGCTCCAGCACCATGCAGCCCAGGGTCCCCTCCTGCGTCGGCCTCTCCCCACCCCGTCCGGGGGCCAAGCGGCAAGCCTGTCTCCTCAGCTGGCTCACCCCACACTCAGGCACAGCAGCTGTGGGTTCTTCAGACCCCCAGACCTCGGCCGCACCCCCTTCAATGCGTGCAGACGGACCCCCGTGCGGCGAGCGCGGGCCGACTCAGCGACCACCCGCAGAGCAGGACAGACGGTGGGGGGTCACTTCCAAGACTAGGTCACAAGAGGCGCAGCAGCCTGCTCCACACCGTCCGGCACCACTGGCGGAGGGGGTCAGGGGGTGGCCACCAGGCTGCGAGGACGCTAGACCCGCACTGGGGAGAGGCGCCGAGCCAGCCGCCAGCTGACGCGCGCTCTGCAGCCTCACGAGGGACCCGGAGCCTGGACCGCCCGGACTCCTGGCCCTCGGAGACTGTCTGCCGGCTGAGGCTAAGCTGGGGGGTCATGTGATTACACAGCGAGAGAGAACGCCGCCGTCTAAGCGCACGCCGCCTCCAACAGCTGCCCATACCCTCACTCACAGGCTGAAGCCCCAGAGCCTCCCTCCGGGGGCTCAGAAGCCCCCAGACTCGCCCACCTGCCGCTCTAGGCCCACTTCCACCCCTCTGCCTCCGAGTCGGCCCGCGTCTGCCCACGTCCACGCACTGGCCTGAGCGGGGACCCTGTGTGGAAGCCGCCAGCTCACACACCTGTGACGCGCCCCCCGGGCGGGCAGCCCTCCCTGCCCCCGGAACCTTCCCCCCAGCCGAGGGGGAAGCCTCTCTGCCGGCGTCTGCTGCCGGCCTCCTCCATGGACCGGGGCCTCCGCGACAGACTGGTTCTGTGGGCCCCACGTGTCCACGCTGTCCTGCAGCCTGGAGGCCCTCGGCCCGCATCCAAGCAACTGACTACACTCAGGGACGCCCGAGCCACCATCCCCGACATCGCAAAGCAGGGGTTTTGGCTGCAATGCCCATGCCGTTCTGGTGCTTTTACTACCTCGGATCCTTCCCGGAATAAATAAAATGACTCTGGGTCCATCATCAAGGAAGGTAATGACCTTCACGCCATCCCCCGTCCGTCCTACTTCAAACAACTCACCTCTGCTATAAAAGTGACCCGAGGCCACCTGCTCACTCCAACCAACACCTCCCCACCGAGAGTTCCAGGGGCAGGAGGGAGTGGAAGGAGTGTGCCCATGACCCCACGTATCCCCAGAGGGATCCACACTGCTCCCTCACCACACGCTGCAGGGAGGGGACACACATGCCAGGAATGCGATTTCTAATGTGGTTTTCTCTTGACCCGCGTCTGTCCCCCTCGGCGCGGCTGACACCAGGCACAGTCATTCTTTGGGGGAGGGGGGGACGTCCCGGGCACTGCGGGGGGTGAGCAGCGTCCCCGGCCCCACCCCAAGATGCCAGGAGCACCCCCAGTGTGACAACCCCAGACATCCCCAGACACCGTCCACGGTCCTCTGGGAGGCAGAATGGCCCTGAGTGAGAACCCCTGGTTTTGACAAAACGCTATTATAAGAAATAAAGTGCCCTGCCAGTCTGTTTGGAAGGGTCCCTCCCAGGCAACAGCCGAACAGCGCACACACGAAAGCCAAACCCCGAGACACAGCCCTACAGGTCAGCCCGAGGGGGAGACGGGGCAGACCACACACTGAGGCCCCCCGACGCCGCCCCGATGCGGTGCCCGCGTGGGAAAGGCAGGCCACACTCTCGCCCAGGGTGTGGGGAGGACCCAGTGAGGAGAGTCTGCGCATGCCCGGGGAGAAAGGGCCCCGCCTCACGCCACTTTGTACAAAGGAACTCGGGGGCACCTGGGGGGTGCAGTCGGTTAAGCTCGACTCTTGCTTTTGGCTCAGGTCGTGATCTCAGGGTCGAGGGATCGAGCCCCGCGTTGGACTCTGTGCTCAGCGTGGAGTCTGCTTGGGATTCTCTGTCTCTCCCTCCGTCTGCCCCTCCGCCTCATGTGCGTGAGCGTGCGTGCACACTCTCAAATAAATCTTAAAAAATAAAATTAAAAATGAAGGCAAAAGAGAGAACCAGCCCCCACTGGAGTGCTCCAGAGACAGTGCAGACACGCTGAGGGGTCACTCACACACACACGCTCGCACGCGGACACATGCTCATACGTGTGCGCACCCCCCACACACAGGCAACTATGTCGACCAGCATGACACCCTGCTGTGAGCCCCAGGAGGGGACGGGCGATGTGGGGGGCATGTCTGTGAAGGGGCCCTCGATGCCGGGCCAGAAAGCAGCCTCACATTTAGCAGGAAGCCGGGCCAAGGGAGAACAGCGGCGGCCAGGGCACTGCCCGAAAACTGAAGCCTGAAATGCGGGATCAGCCCCTGGAGGTGTCAGGGGGTCCTGGACAAGGGGCGTGGCTGAGGTCACACGGGTCCCTACCAAGCCCTGCTGGCTAGTCTGCCAAAGCCCCCCGGTGGCAGAGTAGCCACAGCCGAGACCACGGCCATGGTCAACCTCCAGAAGAACCAAAACGCACAGAAACAAGGCACGACGCCGTGAGGTGCTGGACGTGCTAACTGACCTAACTGAGGCAATCATTTCACGGCACGTCCATGTACCGAATCATCAGGTCGTACCCCGTACGCTCACGGGATGTTAATGTCAATCAAATGTCAATAAAGCCGAGAGGAAGAAGGAAGCCAGAGGGAACACCAGGCACGCTGGGCAATGGGGCGATCAGTGACCCTGCCCGAGGCAGCACCTTGCCAGGAAGGACAGAGAAAGGAGGGTGTGGAGGGGGCGGGTGCAGGGAGGTGACGCCCTGGGAGGAAAGCAGCGCGGGTCTCGTGTCGCGTAAGCCCCGGGCCGCCGTCCAGTGAGCAGGGAGCCCGCGAGGCCAGGCGCAGCGGCAGCGGGCAGGCGCCAGCAGGGCCACTGCCCATGAGGCACTGGGCCACCGCAGTGTCCGGGAGGGAGGGACGGAGGCTCAGTGCAAGGCTGAGCTGGCCAGAGCAACCCAGGTTAGCTTTCCAGATGCCCTGTTTCCTGGGCCAACTGAGCCACGGCCACATCTGTCCCCTGGGAGCTGGGACTCGGGCCTCTGACAGGATCCCTGGCCCCGGGAACCGCCATGCACCTGACCCAATGTCCACCTGCCCAGAAGCGTCTCGGGGGCAAGGACTGCCTGGACCTCACGGCTGGGCCCCTCTGCAACCAGCCGCTGACCTGGCCCCTGTGCCCTGGCCGATGCCCCAGTGCCCGGTCAGCCCAGCATGCCCGCCTCCCATGGGGCTCTCCTGCCGACCCGCGCGGGGCCTTGGCCCTCAGTCTCCAGCCTCCGACACAACCTGAGGTTGTGACTCAACCTCAGTCGCGCTCCCCCTCAAAGAGATCTGGTCACACGTGCCCTTCTGGCTCAAAAGCAGGGAGAAAAGCAAGGCCCCACCTCAAGCCCAAGCGTGTGACACTCCCAAGGCTGAGCCTCGCTCTATGCACACGAGCCGACAGCACCCCACCTTGCCCCCAGCCGCGCCGGGGCAGCTGCCCTGGACCCACGAGCTCCCAAGTCGCTCGCTGCAGTGAACACCAACGTCCACTCCAGCACCCACGCGTGGCTTTCAGAGCAGCGTTCCCGGAGCCCCTGAGAAGTGGCATCGGCCCAGATGTCCTTCAGGTCCAGGCAGATGGCCACAACAACGGCCCAGCCGTGCTGCGGAGCGCTACTCGGCACCGAGAAGGATCCCCCGTGGACACAGGGACAGCCGGATGGGGCCCGGGGGACTCTGCCACGCGGGAGGACGCGCTTCTTGTCACGCACGGCGTGGCGCCGCTGACATGATCGCGTGGAGGATACGCTGCTGGGTGCCGGGGCGGGGGGGCGTGGAGAGAAGGGTGACAGGAGGGTCCCTGCGGTGGGGGACGCAAGCACCGGGACAGGCGATGAAATCGCGGCACCTCCCCAGAAGGAACCGTGCAGCTCCAGGCCCCGGCTGT